GAGGTTTCACTGACTGTTAGGTCTTGGCTCTGCTGGTGGGAATAAAATCCTGTCTCTTACCAGCCTTCTCTTGACACCACTCTAGTCCAAGTGTAAAGTTGCTCATTGCAGCCTCTGGGGGTTAAGTCGAGGCTTCCCATATGGCTTAAGCTAATGGTGGTAGGGATATGGGCCGTTGGAATTTTTGTTGTTTCCTGTTTTTGTTTTTATCTGTGTCTCTCTCTCTGTGTGTGTGTGTGTGTGTTTGTGTGTGTGTGTTTGTGTGTGTGTGTGTGTGTATTCCTATCTTTTGCTGATCCTTTGTTGGTGTTTTGATTAGACTAAGGCTTTGGGGGAGTCTTGTTTTTTACCAATCCCATTTGGAGGTTGCCAGCTTCTCTAATTTGATGCTTAGAAAACAGAAAGCTCACAAAGAATTCGTCCCCGTGCTCCTTAGATCCCAAGGCCCCTGTCAGTCTGCTTCTTGCTCACCACCTCTGCTTGGATTTCCTTTATATGTGATGCCCAGCTTTCCAGCTGTGTGTGGCAAGTGGATAAAGAAAAGGCACATCTGCACTGCCCCTAAACTGTGCATGGTGTTTGTAGAGGCCTGCTTCTTTGACTGGTCAGTGGTCCTTAACACCCGTGAAGTTGGAGTACTGTTCTACCTGGCACACAGAAGAAGAAGAATTTATATCCTGTTACTATTAAGGCGTCCTCTGAAGTAAACACAGTTATGTTTTTCATTAGTCATTACTTCAGAGAAAACTGGGCTGTACCATGTAGAATGGGACCAGAACAGCAAGTGCAGAAGGTCTAATGCTTTCCTTATGTCTGACTTTGTAAAAATATCAGTGGTCATCTAACATCTTAGGAAGGAAAAAAAGGATGGAAAACTCAGTGGGGGCGGGGTGGTTCACTCATGGTCATGAGTGTGATTATCATGTGTCACACATGATTTAATCAAAATGAGACGGTTCAGGGGTTCAGAACACTTGCTGCTCTTGGAGAACCCAAGTTCAATTCCCAGCACTCGCATGGTAACTCACAACTCCATAAAACTCCTGTAACTTTGTTAGAGAACTCGAGTGTCATTCATGAGCCAGTGTTGATTTGATCATCAATAAGATTTGCTAAAAGTAAATGGTGTTTGTCAGCAATTGATAGAACCTTTGTATTACAGAGGATAGTAACACAGAATTACAACCAAAGGATAGTTAGGAAAATTGAGGAAGAGTTTAAGAATTTCCTTGGTTTCCCTTAAATCCTTACTATGAAAGGGGATTTAGTAAGTAGCTTGCAAGACAGTAGGGCACTGTCTTATTGGATATGTGACTAAGACAGGGCCTGTGAGTTCCATAGCAAGCATTCAAAGATAACTTGACATTAAAATCTGTGAGATTATGGATGGTTTGTGATTATATGTAGTTAGAAATTTATAAAATATAAACAGCTACCTTACTCTTTGAGTATCTTAAAAATATATAAACGCCCACGCTACCATCACCCCTTTACCATGTTTGAGTGATCGAAAAACAGACAAGGACAGCGGTGGGTCACTCCCCTCAGCAGAATGTCAAATGTCCTTTATTTAAAGAGGGAGGAAACCTTAAATACAGGCTTACAGCACAATGAGAGAACCCCAGAGGGCAGAAGTTCGCTACCAATGTTTACAATCTTGCATCTAAGCTGTTAACACCCAATATGCAGGATAAACAAGGAACTTTCCTTAAGCATTCAGGAGGGTGGAACCGGGCAGGGAATTAGCATAGGGAGGACATCTGGTCAAGGTCGGCGAGCAGGCAACGGCTTTACTCAATATGGGAGGAGACCAGGGCCCTACATAAATTGACAAGTTTTGTTTTTTGTTTGTTTTTTACTTTGAAATCAGGTGATTAATAAACACATTGAAAGAATATGGCTGCACAGATACCAGAATCCGACCAGATAAAACAGGTAAGATACTATAATTAAGGGGAAGGGATCTTGGCCTGTCATGGTGGTGCACACCTTTAATCCCAGCATTCAGGAGGCAGAGGCAAGCTGATCTCTCTGAGTTCAAGGCTAGCCTGGTCTGCATAGTGAATTCTAGGACAGTAGGGCTATGTAGAAACACCCTCTCAAAAGGCAGTAGAGGTGGGCCAACCTGAGCTACATGCTTGAGGGTGGAATTGTCATGAGTTAAATATTTACTCAAATTGAAGAATATATGCCCCCAAACCACATTTTAAGACATTAAAATGTCTGTGAGATGACATAAAGCCTTTTCTATTTTGTTTTTGAGGCCACAAAAGCATCTTATTATGTTGCTCAGTTGGGCTTCTAAGCCTTTACACTCAAGTGATCCTCCTCCTCCTCAGCCCCTTAAGTAGCCGGGCTATCAGACATCACTCCACTGCAGCTGGCTGTCAAACTGTTTTGGACCAGTGGGTGAGGAGAGAAGTCCAGCTGGAGAATAAGACCCTGTGTTGTAGGTTAAAGCTACTTAGTTAGCAAAGGAGTCTAAATGAAGGGGATGGGAGTTGGGGGCACCAGAGTAGTCTGTCTACTCGTCAGGACGGTTCAGAGAGTCTTTGCTGTAAGCTTGAGTTGAAAGCACTTCTTCTTTCTAGTTTAAGGAGTTCCTGGGAACCTACAATAAACTTACAGAGACCTGTTTTTTGGACTGTGTTAAAGACTTCACAACAAGAGAGGTGAAGCCTGAAGAGGTAGGAAAAGTGTTGCCCACTAAAAATTCCCCGTTTGTTACAAACCACAGAAGCCATCTAAGCATGTCATGTTCTTCTGACTGGGCTGCCACTTACATCCACCATTGCTTAGAGAAACCAAATCAGTCATGAACCCGTGACACCAGACCATGATGCCAGGTGGGACTTAACAGTCACACTGTACCAGGCAGACTTCAGAGACCAAGCGTGGCATGGATGGCCGAGGTACACGTCACAGCAGGTGGTCTGTGTTTGCCTGGTGGTCAAGTCGGCAGCAGGCTAAAGAAGCCTGGCACAGCTCTCACCGGGCCCTGAGAACTTAGGTCGGCTTTAGAAAACGTGAAGTGTGAGCGTGGTGGTACATAATGCTCGCGTAGACTAAAACCCAGTCCTAATCGGCATCTCAACTTTGAGTATCCTTAGAAAGATGTTTATATATCTGCTGAGAAGTCAATAAACATTGTGCCAAAACCTAATTTCATTTGTAATTTAACTAACAAAGTTTGAGATACCAAGTATGATATTTATTTTTTAAAGGAATATGTTTTCACTATTCCTTGCCAATTTCATACTCGTAGATGATGGACCTTGATCATGTGATACTCTTGTTTTTAAAACCATACTTTATCTATAGAAATATAATTTACATATTAAATAACACTATAGTAGAATGTTTTGATAGAAAACGGGAAAAGATTAAGGTTGTAAAATTTTTAGTCCCTTTTCCAAAATGGAACAGATGTACTCAGTGACCAGTCATGCCGAGTTCCCACTGCACAGGTGGTGGATGGACTTGAAAAACAAACCCACCTTTCAGTCCTGCCTCAGGAATAACACATGCCAGACAGATGTTCCTCCATGCAGATGTGGTTCTTACTATTTGAATATCCAGAAACTTGACCTCAGATCCACCATGAAAAAATACAAATTACCACAGATTAAACTAGGAAAAAATAGCTTTATTATCCTCTTTCATGACTGAGATGTGTCCTTCTGCCCACAGTCCATCCTTATCACCTTACATTACCTTCTCGTGGTCTCCTTTGTGAATTTTTGTACTTTACCAGCATTTACACCCATTTACATGTATACATTCTAGTCTGGGATCTGCCTGTGAGGAGAACCTGGCAGGTTCATTCTTTCTGAGCTTGGGTCACCTCAGTTGATATTAAAAAGAAAAGGGTTAAGGTGGGTGAAGTTACACGTGCTTGGAACCCTAGCATTTGGGAGGCTAAGGCAGAAGATTCTGGAATCCCAGACTGGTCCTGGCTGCATAACAAGACCTTGCTCAAGAGAAAAGTAAAGGTTGTGAGTTAAGACTATGCAGAAACAAGTTTCTCATTAAAAAGGAAGAAACCTTCTGCTGGGTATACATTTATCAGTCTAGTGAAGAAGGTAGGGTTGTGGGCCTTGAGTTTATAGAAAATCTGGTCCAGACCTTTCGTGAAGGCAGAGCACATCGTTGTTTCTGATGCCTGTAGACTATAGGGATTTTATCAACTTTCATTCTAGCCAGTGGATGAAAGCATAAACAATTTGAAGCTGATTATTGCTTTAAGCCAAGGATACATTTAATGTGCAGATCTACCTAAAGAAAAGCAAAGTTCCAGTGGTGGCTCCTTCAGAATACAAGAATGTTTATTTTTGTGTTGCCTTTTGGACCTCCCCCTTGTATTTCTAGGTTACCTGTTCAGAACATTGCTTACAGAAATATTTAAAAATGACACAGAGAATATCCATGAGATTTCAGGAATATCATATCCAGCAGAATGAAGCCCTGGCGGCCAAGGCAGGACTCCTGGGCCAGCCCCGGTAGAAGCTCGGAGACACAGACTTGTACTGGGATTGCCGCAGCTGCTGCGCTGGCCATGCGGGTTCACCAGGAAGAACCCTGCAGCAGCCCAGAGGAGTGGAGGGAGCCAGCTGTCTAACTGCCTGACCAATGGGAACCCCTGGACAAACAAATCACCCTTCACCAGAAAGAAGCGGAACAGAAGGCTGTCCGGTTGTAAGAGTGGTAAGAGGCGACATTGTTGAGGCCTTAAGATTCAGCTGCGTGGTCACCTTGATTACAAAAATAAACCATTGTTCCTTTCTTTGTGACTGTTAATTTTAAAAGCAAAATATGTGTCCAATCATGTACGAGATAGAAAAAATTTATTACTAAAAGTAAAATAAATGGAAGTATCACTGAGCGTTGTTTTTACTGCACAGAACACAGTATTCTGTCTGAGCTGTGATGCGCTGAGGTGTTCAGTCAGGACCATCCTTTAAGTACTTCTGTTCATACATGTCTGCCTCAAGTTGCTGGCAAATACACAAAACAGTTACTTGCTAATCATTTCAGGGCACTTTTTCCTTGCTTCTCCTGTCACATTAGATACTACACATTCTTCTCCTAGCTGCATTTTAATAAATCTTTAGGGAACATCCCTTTTGAGGCTAGCTTGGAAATGTTCATGACTGTCACGCTCTATTACAGTCTTACAGTTTGTTTAAAAACTGGAGGTCCAGGCTAGTGAGGGCTCCGCAGCTAAAGGCACTCAGTTCCAAGCCTGGCAACCTGAGTTCCATCAGTACAATTGACTTACCCAGTTGTCTCCTGCCCTCCACTTAGGCTGTGGTGCCTTTGTGAATGCATTTACATACACACACACACACACACACACACACACACACACACACACACACACACACACACCAACATGCATGGTTTGAGTGTAAATAATAACATACAACTAATGTGACCAATTGAGTAAAATGAACCAGTTAAATTTCCATCTTATGGCTAATAAATTCTGAAGCAAATTCATGCATTCACAGAAAATTCTAGCTGATAAGTTTAAGTACTTTGTTTTTGTTTTGTTTTTTTAATGGAACTGGCAAAAGGAAGAGCTTCGAAGTGGCCTTTATTAGTTACCATCTAAAGTCATATTACAGAGCACTGTTAGCCTGTGTTTACATTCACAAAGCTGTTTCTGTGTTTTGTCAAGTTGGTGAGAAGTACCATTCTGCTTTAACATTGAAATGTGAAAACATACAATAACAAAGTACACAGTTCACTATAGTAGAACACAGAAAATAAGCTAGTCTTACCTTAATGAAAGAATAGAACCAGAAATAGATACTACTTGAGGACCTTGAGGAGTCCACATCCAGTCATTGTTTCTGTGTAATCAAGTCCCCCACGGTTAGATAATTTTTCACAAGGATAATTAAATACGTGCTCACCTGGCAAATAAGGGGAATTTTGTACAATAGCATCTGAAATACCTCAGGAGGGAGGGTTTGTTTGAAAAACATCAGAAGCTCCTTCGGCTGCCCACACACTAAAAGGGCATTGGTGAGATGTTCAATCCCTATTCCAGGCTCTCCTGAAACAGATTGGTACATGTTAAGCAAGAAAAAAAAAAAAAATGGAAAGGGTTGTTTTTAATAATTATGTGTATGTGTGGGGGTCTATGAGTGTGTGTGTACACATGAGTGCAATGCCTGGAACTGGAGTTTGGGAGTCCTGTTTGTTTTGAGGTAGGGTCTCTATGTAGTCCTGGCTTGCTATGTAGACCAGGATAACCTCAGACTCACAGAGATCCTCCTGCCTCTGCCTCCTGAGTACTGGTATTAAAGGTATGTGCCACCACACCTGACCTTCTAGAACTGGAGTTACAGATAGTTATGATGTACCTGATGTGAATGTTGGGAATAGAACCAGAGCCTCTTATGAACTAACTAGTACTCTGTAAGGGAAGAACAGTAGGAGCTCTAACTGCTGAGCCATCTCTCCAGAGCTCAGGCCAAGATTTTAATACTCTTTAAAATGGATATTCTACAAATTATCAAGAAGGCAGCAAACATTAAAAGGTAAATGCATATCAACCGGGTGGTGACACGCTGCTTTAGTCCCAGCACTTGGGAGGCAGAGGCAGGTGGATCTTTTGAGTTCCAAGCCAGCCTGGGCTACGGAGCAAGTTCTAGTACAGCCTGGGCTACACGGAGAAACCCTGTCTCGAAAATCCTAAAAATAGCCGGGCAGTGGTGGCGCACACCTTTAATGCTAGCACTCGGGAGGCAGAGGCGGGTGGATCTCTGTGAGTGTTTGAGAACAGCCTGGTCTACGAAGCAAGTTCCCAGACAGCCAGGACTGTTATACAGACAAACCCTGTCTCAAAAAATCAAAAGGAAAAAAAAATCCTAAAAGAACGTGATGACTGATGAGTCCAGAGCACGAGTGTGAGGGGGAATACTGGGCTTTATGTGGGGCTGCCGCAGGGTGAGTAATTCTGTGAGGTTACATAGCTTACTCGTCTTTAGGCATGCACACTCGCATGGCAATGTTCTGTACTGACGCGTGGAGGGTGGCCATGCAAGGTTTTTCAGTCTTGTAATACGGGGTAGATCATCCACGTTTGGTAAAGTGTGAGAGCTGAACCATCTGGCGTGGTATTAGTGTTTTGTCTGCGTGTGTGTCTGTGCACTGTGTGCATGCAGGGTGTCAACAGAAGCCAAAAGAGGACATGCGTTCCCCTGGGACTGGATGGAGTTAGACAATTGGGAGCCACCATGTGGATGCTGGGGATGGGACCTGGGTTCTCTGGAGGAGCAGCTGGTGCTCCTAACCACTGAGCCACCTCTCCAGCCCCATTTTGGTTGTTTTGAGACAAGGTCTCACCATGTAGCCTTGGCTGGCCTAGAACTATGTCATTCTGGCATCAAGCTACTGCCTCTGTGGTTAAAGCTTTAAAAAATAAACTGCATTATCAAAGCACCAAACAAGACTTAATATAACACGAATTACACATTCTGATGAAAAAAGATCACCACTTTTTAGAAGGAAAAAACCCCAAGTTTGCATTTTTGTTCCAATCATTCCCAAATTTGTACCTTACTCACCTGTAAGTTTAAACTATTATGTGATAGCTCTTTGGGAATAAAATGTGATATAATATGTATGTAGTTTTGTGTTAGCATCAGAGATGTTCATTAGTTCTCAGACATCATTGGATGGTTTAATTGAAGAGTGTACTTAGAATAGCCTACTGCATGCCTAGGCCATATAGTGTACACTCATACGTGCAGTTCATTATTAACAGAAACAGCCTGACATTTTCCCCTGTTGACTTAGAATTCAAATTTTAATTCCTCACATTTTCAATAGAAATTAAAGCTGAAAAGTTTTGTCCATTTCAGTTTCTCCGTGTCCAGGAAGCATCCAGGTGGTTCTTTGTGAATGTCTGAATCCCATGCAGTATCAGGATTTGAACTCAAGTTCTACCACTGAGGTACATTGCAAACACATCCACAGCTAGCAATTACTCCATATTTTATGAGCCCCCTTGGTATGGGATATTAGTTGAAGATGTTGTGCACTCATTATGCTGTGGAATATTTAATGATGTAAAGATGTTTTGCATTTGTTCAACTGTGAAGCTGTGTTACTTTGTCTGCCTAAAACACCTGATTTGTCTAATAAAGAGCTGACCAGCCAAATAGCAAGGCAGGAGAGAGAACTAGATGGGGCTGATGGGCAGAAAGAATAAATAGGAGGAGAAATCCAGGGGAAAGAGGAGTGAGAAGAGAGGAGAATGCCAGGGGCCAGACACACAGCCAGCCATGGAGTAAGAAGGAAAGGAAGTAATAGAGAATAAAAAAAGGTAAAAAGCCCAGAGACAAAATGTAGTTAAAAAGAACAGGATCATTTAAGTTAGAAAAACTGGCTAGAAACAAGCTAAGCTAAGGCTGGGCATTCATAAGTAAGAATAAGTCTCTGTGTATTTATTTGGGAGCTGAGTGGTGAGCCCCCAGAGTAAAAGAGCCAGCTACACCCCCTGGTTTATTCAATTTGAGGAATCCTGTTTAGGAAAAGTACATAAAATTATGAATAAGAAAATTGAACTGGGACTTAAAAATTGAGATATCTAGCATAACTTCTACTAGCATGTGTAGAGTTACTCTTATATCACCATGTCAGTTCTAATTTGAAGTTGAATTTTAGTTCATTTAAAAAATGACTATCTGGGGGCTGGAAAGATGGTTCACTAACTGCTCTTCCAGAGGATTCAGGTTCAGTTGCCAGCAACCACATGGCAGCTTACAACCGTCTGTAACTCCAGTTCCAGGGGATCTGACATCCTCACACAGGTACACATGCAGGCAAAACATCAAGGCACATAAAGTTTTAAAAAATTAAAAATGACTACCTGAAAGCTGTTGAATAAAATATTAATTTTAAAATTGTGATTAATGTACAATAGTTTTAAGAGCTTTACCCCTTCCCAAAAAATTATTTATCATGTTTTCAAGCTGAGTAACAATCATGGGCACTGTTACAAGCTGTGCAGGATCTTGATTCCTTTTTTTGTTTAGAAAGATTTTTTTTTGTTGTTTCTTTTTAAAGAATTTATTTCATAGATATGAGTGTTTTGCCTGCATGTATGTATGTGTATCACATGCATGCAGGGCCCACAAAGGTCAGAAGAGAATAGTTCCCCTGTTCTGAAGTTGTGGATTGCTAGCCACTGTGTGGGTCCTGGGAACTAAACCCGGGTCCTCTACAAGAGCAGCAAGTGCTCTTGACCACTGAGCCACCTCTCCGGCCCCTTCCTCCTTGTTTTTATAAGTCCTGGATAATGCTACCCACTTACATACAGTCTAATACATAAGATCTTTTGAAGAAAAAAAGAAGAAAGAGGGCCCAGCAGCACATGCCTCTAATCCCAGCAGTAGGGAGGCAGAAGCAGATGGATCTCTGAGTTCCAGGACAGCCTGGCATACAAAGAAACCTTGGGGCAGGGGTTGGACAGAGAGAGAAAGAGAATGCATAGTTTGTCCTACTGTTCACACATACATTAAATTACATGTAATCAAAGGTATTTCTTGAAGTGAAAAGCAGGAACTGTGGGGCTTAAGAGCACTGGCTACTCTTCCAGAGGACCTCAGGTCAATTCCCAGCACTCACTGAGTGGCTCACAACCTTCTTACAGAAGTTACACTACAGTTCCAGGAGATCTGGCTCCCCCTTCTGGCCTTGGAGGACACTTCATGCACGTGGTGCACAGACACACTCCTAAGTAAATTAAAAAGAAAGAAAACAGGTGATGTGATATGCAGGGAGCTTGTAACGCTTGAGGACAATACTTAATAAGATGTCGCTGACCCTCCATCACTATCAGCTACCCCTTCTCTTTTCCCTAGCTGTACTCAGCACCAGAATCAAGACCCCATTACTGCATTACTACAGAGTGGATATCACCTACTAACATTGTAACAATGTTGCGAGGTCTTCACAGGTGCTTCTAGAATTGGGTACAAGTTAAATCACATGTGGTCATGAAGTATAGGTCCTTATTGGCCCCAACTGAAGTGAGTTGGTTACCACATAGCTAATTTGCCTGATATTAAATATTAACCAGTGTTTCCTTTCTATTTCCCCTCTCTATGTCATAGTCCAGGCTAGCCTCAATCTTCCTGCCTCTCATACGAATATGCCACCATGCCTGGCGAATCAAATAGTTTTTGAAGAAAAATGATTTAAAATTTACAAAATCCCTGGGTACATGCCCTTAATCCCAGCACTTGGAAGGCAGAGGCAGGCGTTTCTCTGTGAGTTTGAGGCCAGCCTGGTCTACAAATTGAGTTCCAGGACAGCCAGGGTTATACACAGAAACCCTGTCTTAGAAAAAACAAACAAAGAAAGAAAGAAAAAACTTACAAAAGAATGTTTTTATTCTTACCTCTAACTAAACAAAGTTGTCCCATCTGCACCTCTTGCAAAAAAAATTCTTGGAGTTTTTCCTTCCTTGCTGGATCCCATAACTAAAGGATTTATAAAATATGTAACAATGAGTAATGAATGTAAGGTATACAGATGCTCTCAAAATGTATTACTATTTTTAAAGTACCTCTTAACAAATAAATACACATATTTAAAAAAGAAGCGACTCTTAGGCCAGGCTAGTGGACACATCTGTGTTCTCAGCACTTGGGAGGCAAAGGCAGGTGGACAGAGAGCCTTGTGTTCAGAATGTTCCAGACCAGCCAAGACTACAAAATGAAGTTCTGTCTCAAAGATAAACAGCATGAAAGACACCTCTTAACTCTCATCTCTAAATCCAATGGATGACAAGTGTTTCTCTGATCAATTTCTAACGTGGAGTTATAGTTTCAGAGGACAAGAGAAAAGCATGGCATCGGTTAGTTGAGATGCTCACAGTAACCCTCGTCCCTGTTTTCGTAGCCGCGCCTTGAATAGCAGACCTAGGTATGGACACAGTGATGGTAGCTTTGTCTGCGGATCGATTCCCTGCCTGGGTTAGTGGCGGTGCCTGGTAATGCAGCAGTGTGATTTTCTCGACTAGGGGCCGTTTTTGTCATTTACTTGTGATTCCCAGTCAGTGAGCTAACAAAGCTTCCGTACTCACACACTTTCTCAGGGAGGGTCAAAGTGCATGGTTAGGGTGGGGTGGCATGGTGGTTGGTGACTGGCTAGAACACTTTGGTTTGCTGCAGCCAAGGCCACAGATGGCGTCATCAAGGCTACCGTGCCTAGGGCCGGGCTTTCAGGCAGCTCTGAAAAGGGATCACCTTAGGTCAGTTAAAACGGGAATCATTAGTGATGATAGGTTTTACTGGGTACATGTTTAGTGAGCACTAGCAAGAGCCGAGGTCTAGAAACCACTAGAATGAAGGCCCCTGAGCCCAGCCCCTCCCCACAGTCTATAAAAGGATTGGTAGCACAACCTACGCCCAATCTAATGGCCTTTGGGGCTCAGGGTGGAGAATCGGATGGCTCCTTAGAAAAGAGTACTTGAGATAGGAAGGTTAGTAACCTTTGATGAACACATGAACAACACAAAATTCCAGGGAATCTTTAGATTATACCAGAATGAATATAACCGAAATAATAACGACCAGTTACTGAAGGCCAGCTATGGAATAGGACTTAACCATAAATTAGTAGTCACACTTAGGAAGACAGACAGAAGGCGGTGTGCCAAGATACAGCGGGCCTTTAATTTGCAAGGGAAGTTACTCTGAGAAAATCCAAAGTCAACGTGGAAGAAATGGAAATGAGAATGGGGTATGAGATAAAACAGAAAAATAAGAATTGAATATTGAGTATGGAAGATGAGGTGGTTGTTTATGCAAAATGAATTAAGGGCAGCAGAGATGCCATCGACACCACAAATGGGAGAGGCCGAAACAGACAGAAGGAGTAATTTACCTGTGAATACACAGGCCCAAATGCCAACAGGAACATGCAGGTAAATACTGACGGGGCTGAAGCGCGACACATCTCAGGACAGCTAAGATCACTTTGGGAGGGGAGCAAGCTTTTCCAAGGAGAAAGGGGTGGAGGTCTAGAGCCTGAGGGCATTCTGATTTTCCCCAGAAAGAATCAACTGAGTGTGCTGGTGAAACTAGTGTTTCGGCTCCACCCAGACCTGCAAAGGAAATCCCGGACCAGGGCTCAGAGGTCAGCATCTCCTACAAGCTCTCAGGTGCTGTTAGGCACTCTTCATTCTTAGACTCGCTGGTGCAGTTAGGGTTTCCTTGGCCATGTCTGACTGTGTGAACCATCAAAGGTGCTTCTGGTTTGGTCTGCTGCTATTTGTTCTGCATGTTTTGTTTGTGTTTGTGCATGTGAGTGCAAGTGTGCATGTGTGTACGTGCACATAGAAACCAGAGGATCCACCCAAGCACTGGGATTTCAGGCACCCTCCACCAGATCCAGTTCTATTGTTCTCGGCTTTTGATTGCCAGTGTGGGTGCTGGGGATCAAACACTGTACTGAATGAGCTTTCTCCCAGCCCTATTAAGGCGGAGTTCTGCTATGCAACCCAGGCTGGCCTTGAACTGACAGTCCTCCTGCCTAAGATTCCTAAATGCAATAGGATTACAGATATGTCCCATCACATAATGGCTGGCTTCTGTCTGCACTTTCTCCTTTCTCAAGATAGATCTAATGAGGTGGACCTGTGGAGTATAGGTGGGAAAGGAAGGTCCTGGTGTGAGGAGGAAGGAAACACCATCAGAGGTATGAAGAGAGAATATTTGTTTTGGTTTATTCATCTACACAATGAAAAAGTTAGTTTAAGAATTATGTGAAAAAAAATCTGAAAAGACCTGCTTCTTCATCAACCATACTTGAAGTCCTTTGGGTTTTCATGATTTCAAATGCAGACTTGTCTGTCTTTAGCCCTCCACCTACCCAAACAATGTTCAACAGATATTTGATGGACAAATACAATGTGCCAGACGCTAGTCTAGATACAGTCAGTGGAGAGTAAAACCCAGACAAGGTTGTGAGAAGCCTAGTCTAATAAATAAGAAACAATCTAATACACACACACACACACACACAAAGTGTAAAGGCAACCATCATGGAGACAGAGGAGGGCCCGAGCTGTATCAGCCCCTGCCCAAGTGAAAGTGCTCAGGGAAAGGCATCTCTCTCTCTATACATGTGCCCTGCTCCTTGGACACTCCCTGTGTGCTTCCTTAAAAGTCAACATATTGACTTCTTCCTTTTCTGTTCTTTCTTTCCTTGTCTCAATCCTCTAACTAGTGAGCACGACCTGCCTATTCTCCCCAGGTAAGTCGCCTCTGCTCTAGCCAGCTCAGTCACCCCTGACATCACCAGAGACTGTGATTTTTATTGCTGCTCCCCAATGTGGCTGCAATAACTTTTTTTCTTTTCTAATCCTTCTAGCACACCCATTCCTGATCAATCTGAGAGTTTTTGTTTCTTTTTTTTCCCCTTTTATTCTTTAAAAATGTTCCTGCTCCAAAATCATCAGTGGTTTCCCACTAAATCTGCATCCCTTAACCTGGGCTCACACCAAACCCTCTCAGATTCTGTCCCTACGCAGCTCAACTTTCCCAGACACAGTTCTCGCCAGTGATCCCTTTGCCAAGCTGACTTACTGATCAGGCCCTGGCATAGTCCCTGCATCCCTGTGCCTGTGCAGCACCTTCAACCCTGAAGACTTCCCTGATTCCATACCCCAAGTTCACTGTCATTCTTGACCCAGATCAGTGACAGCCCCAAAGCCTTATGTAGAAAAAAATTTATCTCCCCCCCCCCCCCCCAAAAAAAACAGTCACAACAAATATTCCCTATTTTAGCATCTCTTTTCAGAACCTTGTCTCTCTATCATGAGCTGGAGTCTATTTCCTCTCAGCTTGAAGGAGCAGTCCTTGGGCGGGGCCATGAGGAGAAGCATTGCCTAGCATGCTCTCCTATCTGCATGTACTCCAATGCGCTGCGTTCTCCTCTGTGTTCAGTGCATATACAGGATCTATACCTGCCTGCTTACCCCTGGGAACCCAAACCAGTTCCAGCAAAGTCAACACCCAGCATTGTTGGGGAATATTATTTTGAGGTGTGTTACTTTTGATGATGTTGCATTGTTTAACTCTGTGAAGCTGTGTTACTTTGCCTAAAATACCTGATGATCTAATAAAGAGCTGAATGGCCAATAGTGAGGTAGGAGAAAGGATAGGCAGGGCTGGCAGGCAGAGAGAATATACAGAAGGAGAAATCTGGGAGGGGAAAAAAGAAGTAGCCAGAGAAGGAGGAGGATGCAAGGGGCCAGCCACCCAGCCACACAGCCAACAATGGAGTAAGAAAGAAAGCTGTACAGGAATAGAGAAAAGTAAAAGCCCAGAGGCAAAAGACAGATGGCTTAATTTAAGTTAAGGAAAACTGGCAAGAAATAAGCCAAACTAAGGCCAAGCATTTGTAATTAAGAATAAGCCTCTGTGTGTGATTTATTGGGGAACTGGGTGGCAGGCCCACAAAAAGAGACAGAAGATCCCAGAGAGTAAAACATAAGCAACCAAACAGCATCAACTGGGAAACGTGAGGATGTGCTCTCGGATGACTGACTCAACAAATTGCCCTGGAGCCTGCCTTGCGGAAGCCGAGTAGAACAAAGGTGTCATTCCCCCCCCAAACCGGCTCAAACTGCGGACTCAGAAGCCAAGGACTATTTTAGAGACACTAAGCTCAACCAAGCTGAATAGCCGCTCTACTAATCCCACACTGAAAATGTTTTTTCTAGGATCTTGTTACATGGGTTGGCTTTGTCCACTGCCTTGCTTTGGGGTGATTCTTACACCCCTGTTACTGTTATCTCTGCCAGGCCTACCTGCTGGGGATGTCTTTCTGTATGCTGTGAATGTGTTGCTCTGATTGATTGATAAATAAAATGCTGATTGGCCAGTAGCCAGGCAGGAAGTATAGTATAGGCGGGACAAAGAGAGAGGAAAATTCTGGAAAGTAAAAGGCTGAGTCAGGAGACGCTGCCAGCTGCCACCGACCGCCATGAAAAGCAAAATGTAAAGTACCGGTAGTCACAAGCCACATGGCAACTTATAGATTAATAGAAATGGGTTGATTTAAGATATAAGAACTAGATAGCAAGAAGCCTGCCATGGCCATCCAGTTTATAAGTAATATAAGTCTCTGTGTGTTTGCTTGGGTCAGTAGGAGCCAGGTGGACACAGGAAAACTTCAGCCTTAGTGTCTCACACATAACTGGACCTTAAGTAGGCACAGGTGACCACCTGAAAGATGGAGTGAGACTCTTGCACTTTTGAGCTCATGGGAGTTAACTAAAGCTGAGCCAATAACCAAGATGACCGGCTTCTCTTTAAAAATTGTTAATTGGGGGCTGGGGAGATGGCTCAGTGGTTATGAGCACTCTCTGCTGTTCCAAAGGTCCTGAGTTCAATTCCGAGCACCCAGACGGCAACTCACAACTGCCTGATGCCCTCTTCTGGTGTGCAGATGTATATGCTGACAAAGTACCCATATGAGTGAATGAATGAATCAATGAATGAATGAATGAATGAATGAATAAAAAAACTGTTAATGGGGGGGGTGCGGCTGAAGAGATAGCTCCATGGTTAAGAGCACTGGCTGCTCTTCTGTAGGACCAAGGTTCAATCCCTGGTATCGACATGACAGCTGACATCCTTGTGTAACTCCAGTCCCAGGGAGTCAGATGCTCTCTTCTGACCCCCACAGGCAGCAGGTGTGCAGCTGTGACCAAAACAGGACAGTGAAATGGCTCGGCAGTAAAAGTGCTTTCCGGGTGGTGGCGCACGCTTTAATCCCAGCACTTGGAGGCAGAGGCAGGCGGATCTCTGTGAGTTCAAGGCCAGCCTGGTCTCCAAAGCAAGTTCCAAGAAAGGTTCCAAAACTACACAGAGAAACCCTGTCTCCAAAGAACAAAAACAAAACAAAGAAACAAACAAAAACATAAAATCTCAACTAGTCAATCATATTTCTTGTTGGCTGGCTTGGGGACCTATGTACTCTGTGAGGTTATACGGGACGTGCAAGTTTCTCTTCTTTCTTCCAAGTAAAAAAGTGCCTGTTCCTACATTTGCTTTACAGACACCTTTCTTTTTTTGATAGTATCTTTTTTGGCCCAGACTAACCTCGAACTCCTTCTTCCTGTCTCAGCCTCCCAAGTACTGATCCTTCACACATGTGCATTGAGCCCTGTTCATACTAAAAAACAAAACAAAAACAAAACAAAAACCCCACATTATTTTCTATGTGTATGGGTGTTTAACCAGCGTGTATATCTGTGAGCACATGCCTGGTGCCTCTTATAGGCCAAAAGGGGGTGTTTGATCCCCTGGACTGGTTTACAGATGGTTTGTGAGCCATCGTGTAGGTGCTGGGTATCAAACCTAGGCCCTCTGGAAAGGCAGCCTGGACTCCCAACCACTGAGCCATCTTTCCACCGCTCCTACTGTGTCCTTATCAAACCGACTTTTCCCTTCTTCGCTTCCCCTTTGTAAAGAAGGTTGAAGCTTGGTGAAGCAGGTGTCCGGCACTGGCAGGACTCCCCTTGGGCTTCTAGAAGGCTCCTTGGCACTTCACCTGCCTGGCCCACGCCTGGGCCTTGGGATCTCCAGCTCTTCTCCCTGCAAACACAGGCACGGGCGGGTTGGGAGCGCCGGATGGCGTGGGCCCGGGTCCCCTCCCCGGGGCGCCACCCTGGGAACCGGCCCGGGCTCGGCCGCCCTCCCTCCCGCCGGCCGCGCTGGCACTCACGGTCCCGCAGGCAGCGCCGGAACTCGGGGTCTCTGCGCCGCCTCCGGTCCAGGTAGACGCAGTAGCCGAGCAGGGCGACAGCGCCACCCGCCGCCAGGGCCGCCAGGAGGCCGACGCCGATGCGGACGCTGCGCATCGGGCTGCCCGGCGAGCGTTGGGCGCGGGTCGGCCACGCGTGAGCAAACCCGGGGTCCCGAACCCAGACCCGCAGGACTCGGAATTCCGAGCCTTCTCCAGACAAGACCCATCCCCGCGGCCGGGGCCTGCCGGCCTTCTTAAGGCTGCTTGGATTTCCCTTGTGATCATTTGGTCCCAGATCAGCACGGGTTATCTCAGCCCATCCCTAGCCGGTGCTGGCCAGCCTGCTCTCCTGGGTGCCCGGAGCACCCGCCATCCAAGTTCTCCACCCACCGTAACTCAGGAGAACGGAAGGATTCTGAAGTAATTAGTCTAGGCGACAACACGCAACAAACAAAATTGTTATTTTGTTGGTGCTTTTCTTTTTATGTTTGCTTTATTCAGAAAACACAACAACAACAACAACAAAAAATTGCCAGATTTTGTCCCAAATACCATAACCCAGATAACGACAATAAAACTAAAATTTGGTTTTTTTTACTTATATGTGTGGGTGTTTTGCCTGAATGCATGTGTGTCACGCGCATGCCTAGTGCCTGCAGAGGTCAGAAGAGGGCGTCTGATCCCCTGGAATTGGAGTTACTGACGGTTGTGAGCTACCACGTGGGTGCTGGCAAACCTGGTCCTCTCCAAGAGCAACAAATGCTCTAACCACTGAGCCATCTCTTCCAGGCCCATTTTAATTTTTCAACAATGTTCCATGTAGCTCATGGTGGCCTGGTACTCTTCCTGCCTCAAGTTCCAAGAGTACTTAAATAATTTTTGTTGTGGGTTAGTCAACTGTTACCACTAATTTGCTACTTAACTGGCGTTATTATTGTCATAGCAAGGCAATCCCAACTGCTCTAATTCCAGTGAGGTTAAGAAATAGCCGTGGCCCTCAGTCTTAGCCTTAGTGGAAGTTACATACGGCTTTCATGAGCAGTGTATGTTATTCCTATGATAACTTGAAGCTTCTAGTTGGGAAGTTTATTATGAAAACCTGGCTGTAAACACAGGGCAATATTGTGATCTGGTGTAATCTGGGACTGTCGTGTCAGGAAAATTTCCAGAGACACGACACACACATACTCACTCCAGACAGGGATCCCACGCACGGCCAAAGTATGGATACCACCCAAGTCCAACTAAGCGACCAATGAGTTTGATTTATTTACAGGAATATGGGCCAAGGGGTTACTTAGCGGAGCAGAAATGACTGGAAGACAGATGAATTACCAAGGCGCACCCCCACACACACCCCACCCCCAGCGTGGGTCGCAGTTCACAGGAGCGGGGAACCTGGACCACACCGCCGCCTGCATCAGCTCACTAGGTTGGAGCATCCTTTCCAGGCGACATTTCTAAACCTCTTCCGGGCAGCTTGGTTGGTTTCTGTTTCTTTGGGAGAGCTGGTCCGGTCTCGAGTCCTCTTTGCGGCTTCCTTCCCTCTGAGGGGGTCTCAGCTTTTATTGCTTACCGTGGCAGGGAGAGGCCTAATGAACGTGGTCGCACATGCTGCGGGTTCCAAACTGAGGTTCTCAGGTTTGCACAGTAAAGCACTTTACCTACCGGACGGTCTCCCCGGCACCCTGGGACTGACTTTTGAGTGAGATCCCGAGTGCTGCAGTTAGCTCCCAAAGGTGCATGTGTTAGGCTGGCTGTAACTTCTACCGCCACAGCCTACCTGCAGTATATCGTGGTCTTTGACTTTCACTGACCTACAGGGTGAGTCTCTAGTCTAAGAGAGAGGGGTGGGGCAGACACGTGTTCCAGTGGAACGTGAACAGTGACGAAAGGAGGCGGCGGTGGTGGCGCACGCCTTTAATCCCAGCATTCGGGAGGCAGAGGCAGGCGCATCTCTGGGCGTTCAAAGCCAACGGAACAAGTTCCAGGACTGCCAGGGCTACACAGAAGAAACCCTGTCTTGTAAAATAAACAAACAAACAAGGAGCGACAACTCCCACAGAAATGAGAAATAAACAGCGTCATTTAAAATTACCAGAGCTCATGAAGAAAATGGCTGGGAAAAACTCAGGCAAGTCTCTACGGCAAACACAGATGTTCTCACCTTGGATACGGACACCAATCTGCTCCGATGTCTTCAAACTAAGACTGTATTCATAGCAGTTCCCAAAGCATGGCTCTACCCTGAGTAATAGCTGCCCTGTTAGAGAGCCCTGAAGACGTGGCCGAGAGACAGTAGATGACACACGTTTATAAAGCACACAACCAGGTCAGTTTTGGCATCCATATACAGCCTGAAGCCACCACTGAAACCAGGACATGGCCAGACCCAGGCCTTGCCGTGTGCCGCCCCCTTCAGTCCTGACATTGGTAATCTGTGTCTTCCTCTAGCAGTGCGTCACGACCCCTTGGGGAGCCGAATGACCCTTTCACAGGGGTCACCTAAGACCATCAGAAAACACAGATATTTACATTACGATTTATAACAGCAGCAGAGGTACAGCTATGAAGTAGCAACACAAATAATTTATGGTTGGGGGTCACCGCAGCATGAGGAGCTGTGTTAAAGGGTCGAAGCCTTAGGAAGGTTGAGAACTCTCTGCTCTAGTTCTCAAGCATCTAACAAGTGTATCCATTCCATCTACTTCCTCAGATATCCAGGGAACGCTCTGGAGTCCAGCACTGCCCCGTTCCACCCACTCGGTTGCACTACAACTCTGCTGTAGGACATGACATACAAAAAGCACTCTATTACTATGTTGGACCAGGTGCTTCCAGGGAACAAAAAGTGATTTCTGCAAATAAAAGTCCTTTTATTAGTACCAGTCTGTTGTAGACATCAGCAGTTTCCATGTCTTTCAAACCAATACTTCAGTAAGATTAGCTAGCTATCACCTAACCAAATAACAAATACCCCGCAGTGGTGGCCATCTTAATAAGCTAAAATGTTCATGACAAACAGTGCTACAACTTGTCCATGTCCCTTTTGATAGATAGTGATAATTACTACAGAATAAATTCCTACAAGTGGTCTATCTTGATAAAAGTATGTGTGTACTTTAAGTATCAGCAAGGTATTACCAAAATACCCTCCCCAAATACACTTCTATACTTATGCTCCCATCATCACTGAAAAGATTTCAGAAAATGTGAATTCTGCATACCCTTTGACCTACAAGTTCCAGTTTCTTAAATTTGTGCTACAAGATCTTCTGTAATTGGTGGTTAAGATGGCTAGAAGTTGGAAAAAAACGACTCAAAAATAGATTAAGAGATATGCAGTACAGTGGGGTAAACAATAATGTGGAGTAATTACTCATTAATACAAAACGGTGTTCACGGTAGACATTCCAGTGAAAACAGCTAGCTTTGGGACCAGCGACCAGAGGGATGAGGTGAAATCCTCCAGCAGGGTGACATTGTCCACACCGCTGAGTCCCTTCTGGTGGCTGCTGGCTCCTGAGCAGTCGGCAGGTGTCTCTCTTCATCCTTCAGCACCTTCGAAGTTCTACGAATACCAACCCAACTGGCTGGATGTTGGTCTAAGCGTGGGGACCACTGTCTCCATCTTACTGTGGTCCTATTCATCCAACAACAATGACACTGTACAGTATGATAGAAGAAATGAACTGGAATCAACTTTGGAAACAAGAATGCAGTATTGCTGTGTATAAAGACCAGAGCAGTTCCTCTGCATTCTGCATTCACTGACCTGTCAAACTGTGAATGTGAAAGTTGAATGTGAATATGTTCTATCAAGTCAGCACTTCTGTAATTTTCATTAATGAAATAAAAACGATGTAAAAATATCTATTGATGTTTAAGACAATTTTCATATTGACTTGTGTATGAATGTGTGCATGGGTGCACACGCATGTGCCAAGGTGTTTGTGTGACGGTCAGAGCTGTTGGGTCTCTCCTTCACCATGTGAATTCCAGGCATCCACCTCAAGTTGTCAGGCTTGGCAGCAAGCGTGTTTGCCTGCCGAGCCATTTCAATGGGCCTTACTGATGTTTCTCAAGTTAGTGTTTTTAATTTCAACTTTGGTATTCTTTTTTATTCACAGAGCAAAAGACATACAAGTAAATACACCAAAATGTGAAAAGTGGTTATTTCTGGGCCAGCGAGACAAACTAGCCCAGTGAGCCAAGGTACCCTTCAAAATGAAAACGTTAATAGATTGTCTAAACTTTACACTCCCTCCACCCCGTCAACCAAGTTTTGGTGTCATCATATTTTAGCATGTGACAGCTTAAAAGGAAAAATAAAGAATAGGAAGTAACAAGAGATTAAAAACTAAAAATTGGTTGTGCCTGGTGACTTGTGTTGGTAATCCCAGTACTTGGGAAGATGAGGCAGAAGGATTTTTTTTTTTTTTCTTTGAGACAGGGTTTCTCTGGGTAGCTTTGGAGCCTGTCTTGGAACTCGCTCTATAGAGCAGGCTGGCCTTGAACTCGCAGAGATCCGCCTGCCTCTGCCTCCCGAGTGCTGGGATTAAAGGCTGCGCCGCCGCCGCCGCCGCCGCCGCCGCCGCCGCCGCCGCCACTACCACCACCACCACCACCACCACCTGGTGGTCAAGGATTTTGAGTTTAAAACTCTCATACCTACATATTGAAGAACTGTCTCAAAAAAGAAAGATGGTTCAATGGTAAGAACCCTTGCTGTGGAAGTGTAAGGACCTGGGTTTGGATCCTAGCACCCACAAAAAACTGCACATGGTAGTGTGTCCATCTGTAGCACCATGTCGGGGCTGAAGACAGAAATGACTGCTGGGGCTGGTTGGCCTCCAGCTTCGATTCAGGCTCAGTGAGAGACCAGGTGTCAAAGGAACAAGGCAGAGAGAGCAGGACCCAGGATGATCTTCTCTGACCTGTGTACACATATGCACACACATACCTGCACATACATATGCATATACCACACACTCCTCTGGCCTCTGTACATATATGCACACACCCTCTGGCCTCTGTACACATATGCATGCACACACATACCTGCAAATACATATGCATGTACCACACATACACACAGAAGAAAACAAAGCCAACAAGCTCAAAACAACAAACCAAACTAGCACCTAAGGATAGCACAGGCAATTAAGTCTTCCTGCTTCTCAAGAACTGAGCCTGCTGATGTTCTGATGCCTAGCAAACCATGGTTTTTGCTAAGAACGCAAGCCATAGAGCAGGGGATAGTGGAACTTGCTTTTAA